TAGGTGTACTAAGTTTACATTTATATCAATCAATTCCTTCAATCATTTGCTGTCAGCTTTTAGCATTTATTCCTTTCTATCTTCTTCCTCAATTTCATCACCTTGCACTAACAAATTGGTATCTAGATCTCTTGGTTTGTTCTGAAATTCTGGGAAACACGAGTGATAGTGAGTTGTGTGTTTGATTTTTGAATCTTGAACAAAAATCTGAAACAGAATCACACTGATTCTGTGGGTTTGGGAAACACTGAGTGAGAAATCTGAGATCTGAGTTTTTGTGCAAGGTTTAAGATGAATGTAGGCAGTAGTTTGAACACTAAACTTCCAGTTTTTGATGGCAAAAACTGGAACAGATGGAAGATGCAAATGCGTGTGCTGTTTGGTGCTCAGTATGTTCTGGACCTTATTTCTGAAGGTTATGTTCCAGTTACAGCAGATGCTACTAAAGAACAAAAAACAGAAGAAAGAGCTACGAGGAAGAGGGATCAGAAAGCTCTGTTCTTTATCCATCAGTGTGTGGATGAAAATGTGTTTGAGAAGATTGTTGATGCGACGACGTCGAAAGGGGCATGGGATATACTGACCAGATGTTATGGTGGTGAGGTATCAGTAAAGAAGGTAAAGCTTCAGTCCCTGCAAAAACAATATGAAAATCTCAGCATGAAGAACAGTGAGAAAGTTTCTGATTACATCTCCAGAATGATTCTGATCACTAATGAGATGAAGGCTTATGGAGAAACACTTTCTGAACAGGTAATCATAGAAAAGATTCTGAGGTCACTTACTCCTCAATTTGATTACATTGTTGTTTCTATTGAACATTCTAAAAATATGGAAACCATGAGAATAGAAGAGTTGCAAAGCAGTCTAGAAGCACAAGAGTTGCGTCTGACTGAAAGAACTTCTGAGAGGGAAGTGGAGCAAGCTCTGAAAGCTTCTTTTGTCAAGAAGGACCAGAAGCAGAATAGACATGGTGATAAATTCCAGAAGTCAGAAACCTCAACTTCTGATGAGAAGAAATATCAGAAGGGAAAGGAAAGGTATGATAAGAAGAAGGTTCAATGTTACTGCTGTAAACAGTTTGGCCATTTTGCCAGAGACTGTAGAAACAGAGGAAGGAAATCAGAAGAAGCAAATATAGCCAGAGAAGATTCTGATGATGAACCTGTGCTACTGATGGCTTCTGATTCTGATGGAAACTGTTCAGGAGATTGGTGGTATATGGACACTGGCTGTTCAAACCACTTGACTGGGAACAAACAATGGCTGATAGACTTTGACTCCAGAAGGAGAACAAAGATCAGATGTGCTGATGATAATTACCTTAATGCAGAAGGTATGGAAAATGTCAGAGTCAGAGTGAAGAATGGAAGAAACATTCTGATCAAAGACGTTTGGTATGTTCCTGGAATTAAAAGCAATCTGATCATTGTGGGTCAGCTTATTGAGAAAGGTTTTTCAGTGGTTATGAAGGAAAACCTCTTGACGTTGTGTGATTCTAATCAGAAGTTGATTATGAAGTCTGAGCAGGGAAGCAACAGAACATTCAAGGTGAATGTAGAAACTTCTGAAGCAGAGTGTCTTAGTGCAGAAGGCGCTGAAGCTGACAGTAAGTTGTGGCACAAGAGGTTGGGGCACTTGAACTATAGAAGCTTAGGGCATCTAAGTTCTAAGAAGCTCGTACATGGTATTTCGAAGATTGTGAAGCCTCAGAAGTAATGTGAGATATGCATGAAAGGAAAACAACCCAGATTGCCATTTGCATCAGAAGTAGCCCCCAGAGCAAAGCATGCTCTGGGTGTAGTACATTCTGATGTGTGTGGACCATTTCCAGTACTTTCACTTGGAGGAAACAAATATTTTGTGTCTTTTGTGGATGAGTTCACAAGAATGACATGGGTGACACTCATCAAGTTCAAGCATGAAGTGTTTACTGAGTTCTAGAAGTTCAAGGTGAAGGCTGAGAAGCAGAGTGGTCAGAAGCTGAAGATTCTGAGAACAAATGGTGGAGGCGAGTATAACTCTACAAAGTTCCAGAAGTTCTGTGAGGAGAATGGAATAGAACATGAGGTTACTGCTCCATATACTCCTCAGCACAACGGTCTTGCTGAAAGAAGAAACAGAACTTTGCTTGATATGACCAGAAGTATGCTGAAAGAGAAGAAGTTACCTCACATGTTGTGGGGAGAAGTTGTTGCCACATCAGCATATGTTCTGAATAGGTGTCCAACAAAGAAGCTGAAGGAAACTGTTCCTTTAGAAAAATGGACTGGAGACAAGAAAAGTGTCAGCCATCTGAAGGTGTTTGGTTATGTATGCTACAAACACGTTCCAGAGGCTAGAAGACGAAAACTGGATGATAGAAGCAAAACAATGTTATTGGTGGGGTACCACAGTACAGGTGCATATAAGCTTTATTGTCCAGAAACCAACAAAGTTGAAATCAACAGAGACGTCATTGTGAAAGAGTCAGAAACATGGGATTGGAACAAGCTTCAATCAGATTCTGGTGTAGTGCCAACACCAGGGTTAGTTTTTGAAGATCCTTCAGAAAGTTCTGAAGATGAGTCAGAGTCAGAAGATGAAGACTCTGAAGATGAGTCAGAATCTCAGGGAGATTCTGATAGTGGATCTGATTTTGATCCAGATTCTGATGATGATCCAGAATCTGGTGGTGATTATACTTCTGGAAGGGAAAAATCTGAAGACATGGGGTCTGGAGAACAAGTTTCCAGAAGTAACTCTGAAGGTGGCAACTCTGAAGGAAATAATTCTGGACAAAGTCCAGAAGCTAGCATTGTTCCGAGTTCTGGAGAAGCTTTAGAACCAGATCAGAGGCCACAGAGAATCAGACGAATACCAAGTAGGTTTACAGATTTTAGCATGTTGCATGATACTGAAGTAGACTCTGAAGGAGAAATTGTTCAGTGTGCCATGCTAGTAGATTCTGAACCAGTGGGTATTGAAGAAGCTCTCAAGAAGAAAGTATGGCTGAATGCCATGAAAGAAGAACTTGAGGCTATTGAAAGAAACAAGACTTGGAAGCTGACAGAACTTCCAAAAGGCAAGAAAGCCATCAGCGTCAGATGGGTTTTCAAGCAGAAGCTAAAGCCAGATGGATCAATTGGCAAACACAAAACGAGGCTAGTAGCCAGAGGTTTTCTTCAGAAACCTGGACTAGATTACATTGAGGTGTTTGCGCCTGTAGTTAGACACGAAACAATCAGACTGGTGATTGCTTTAGCTGCAAACAAAAATTGGCCTTTGATACATCTGGATGTGAAGTCTGCATTTCTGAACGGTCCATTACAGGAAGAAGTTTATGTGTCACAACCTCCTGGATTTGTGAAAAAGAATCAGGAAGGGATGGTATACAAGTTAAATAAAGCTCTGTATGGACTGAAGCAAGCGCCCAGAGCTTGGAATTTGAAGATTGATTCGTTTTTCAAGGAACAAGGGTTTCAGAAGTGTGAGATGGAGTATGGTGTTTATGTTCAGCACACTTCAGAAGGTAATATGATTCTGGTCTGTTTGTATGTTGATGACATATTACTTAGAGGAAGTTCTGAACAAGAAACAGCTGAGTTCAAGAAAGTTCTGATGAATGAGTTTGAGATGACAGATCTTGGAAAAATGAGTTTCTTTCTAGGGATGGAATTTATATACTCTGAGAAAGGAATCATTTTACATCAGAAGAAGTATGAACTAGAGCTTCTGAAGAGATTTGAGCTAGAAAATTGCAAGGTTGCTATCACACCTGCTGATACGAATCAGAAGTTAGACTCTGATTCTGATGGAGAGGATGTGGACGCTACAACCTTCAAACAGATGGTTGATTCTCTGAGGTATTTATGTAATACCAGACCTGATATTTGTTATGCAGTTGGAATGGTCATCAGATACATGAGCAAACCAAAGTGGTCTCATTACCAAGCTGCGGTCAGGATTCTGAGGTATGTAAAAGGAACTCTGAAATATGGAGTGTTATTTCCTTCTGGAGGAAAGATCAAATCAGAACTTCTGAGCTACTCTGATTCTGATTGGTGTGGAGATAGAGTTGACAGAAGAAGTACTTCTGGGTACTTGTTCAAGTTTCTAGGAGGTCCAATTTCTTGGAGTTCCAAGAAACAACCTGTTGTGGCTTTGTCAACATGTGAAGCTGATGATTGATAATAAGCCTGCAATTAATCTTGCCAAGAATCCAGTGCTACATGGCAGAAGCAAGCACATTGAGACGAAGTATCACTTTCTCAGAAGTCAAGTGCAGAAAGGAGTGTTAGAAGTTCTGCACTGTAGCACTCAGAAGCAGCTGGCAGATGTTCTGACAAAGGCGATAAAAATAGACCAATTTCTGCGCTTGAGAGATGAAATTGGTGTTGTTAACTTCTGATAAATTACTAAATTACGAGATGGTATTAGAGGGTAATTTAGTATTTTGTTATTTGTAGATAATTTTGATTAGGGCCTATGTGGCATTCTTATTTGTGTATAAATAGGTGTATTAGGTTTACATTTATATCAATCAATTCCTTCAATCATTTGCTGACAGCTTTTAACATTTATTCCTTTTCTCTCTTCTTCCTCAATTTTATCACCTTGCACTAACAGTAGATAGCTCAATATAATTCAGTACTCCTTATTTTATAACCGCCATTAATACATTCTTTTTGTCTTTCATCTCCTTGTGCATCAACAATTTTACCACCTATAGTGGAATGATCCAATTATGCATTAGTATGAGTTATTTGGTTGGTTGGCAGGTAATACCATTATAATTGGCAGGTAACTCAAGTGTATAAATATAACAAATATTTATTATTCTAGTTCAAGTGTATAAATATAATAAGTATTTATTATTCTAGTTCAATACTTCGTTGATACATATTATTTTTCACAAGTGACTCATGTTTATGAATTTAACAAGAATATCCTTATTATTATTATTATTGGAGAAATGTAATTATAGCATACATATATATTACTTGAGAGTTCAAGATGAATTAATCTCCACCATAACGTCTTTGTCTCTGTTGAAATGAACTTAACGCCTCTTCAAATTCATCTTTTCCAAAATCTGGCCCAAGTTGTGGAGTAAAGTAGAGTTCTGTATATGCCAATTGCCATAATAAGAAGTTACTTAGTCTAAGTACTCCACTTGTCCGTATAAGTAAATCAGGGTTAGAAAACTCCGTCTCCAACTCTTTTTCAATTATATTTTCATTAATATCTTCCAAATGAATAATATCATCTTGCACTTTCTTGGCTACACTTTTACATGCTTGGACTATATCATATCTCCCACCATAGTTAATTGCCATAATAAATTGGAATCTTGAATTATTCTTTGAATTCTCTTCAACAATAGTTATCATTTTCTGCAGAGACCTGGGAAGCTTTGACATATCTCCAATCACACGAAACTTAATTCCTTCCCTATTATAAGAAAGGTATTAACGGTTATAACTACAAAGTGGCAGAAAACATAAACAATATAATAAAGTGGCGTTACTATGTTTTTTTTTCAATGTGTTATTATGTAGTTTGATTATGGGATGTATTTGTATATTAAATTGATACCTCATGATTGCTTCAGCTTCAGAACTTAATGTTGTTTCAAAGAGTTTGAACAAGAATTCAATCTCCTCCTGTAAGACCAGAAATGAGAACTCAGGTAAAGACCATTAAACTTAACTGAATCTCTTAAAATGAATGGGAAATAGAAGAAGTAAAATTATAACCTTGGAGCGACGCCAGTTTTCTGTAGTAAACAAAAGAGCAGTGAGAACCTTTATACCCGATTTTATACACAGTTTCGCCACCCTTTTCCACGACTTCATTAATTCTTCGTGTCCCTCGGACGTCGGCAAACCTCTCATTTTCGCCCACCTCCTGTTCCCATCCATAATGACCGCCACATGCTTCGGCATCATTTCTGGAACCAGCTCCGCTTCTGGTTCGTTCTCATGCGCCGGTATGCCTGGAGTGCTTGGAACAGCAGCAATAGTGCGAGGTTTGCTAAGTGTCAGGGGTTGAGAGGGGAACAGGTGTGATTGGGAACGTGAATAATGGTAATGAGAAGAAGAAGCATGGTTGGTGGTGGTTGTTTTTGGTGGATGACTTATCACTGTGTTTGTGAGTGCAATAGGGAGACTTGACGACGACATGGTAATACGATTTTGGAGATGTCATGGAGATACGCTAGACCGCTGCCTTTATTTATAGCCACGATATTGACTACAACAAAACGGAGTATCAACAGGTCGATATCATTTTTCCTTGCTAAAAGTATGAACACGACAAAATGTCGAAGTGGCATGACATGACATCGTAACAACCATGATATAATAATATTTAGTAAAAATAGATAGAAAATTCCTTTTAAGATTTAACATTGCTATTCTTACATTCATTCTTATACCAAATATTTTATATTATATGTATTATTAAACGTATTTATATATTTATACGGTAAACACTATTTTTTTAAATAAAAAAATATATTTATGAACAACAACATTATGAATATATATTAATTTTGTGTTCGTTTATATTCGTTCTTACATTAAATATTTTATATTATATGTATTATTAAACGTATTTATACATTAAACAGTATTTTTTTTAAATAAAGAAATATATTTATGAACAGTGATGTCATTGTTTATAATTTTTTTTGTTCGTTTTTTTAATGGTTTTTATTTTGGAGTTGTCTTATCGAAAGCGATTGTTTCATCGTTCTTGACTTTGATTCTGAAATCTTCCAATTCTTTGGATTTGGACGAATATAAAGCTTATATGTCTTGTAGGATGTTTGTATTAAGCTCTGGCAAAATTGTTGGCAGCTAGATTAAAACGTGTTTTGAATTCCTTTGTTTCGCATTATCAAAGTGCTTTCGTTCCTGAAGACAATTATTGGATGGAGTTTTGGTGGCAAATGAATTGGTGGATTTTGCTAATAAGGAGGGAAATAGTTGTCTTCTTTTCAAGGTAGATTTTGAAAAAGCTTACGGCAAAGTGAATTGGGGTTTCCTTAGGTTCATGATGAGGAAGATGAGCTTTGCGATTTATGGATGAGATGGATGGAGGCGTTGATTTTTAATAGTAAAATGTCGATTTTAGTGAATGGTAGCCCGACCAAGGAGTTTTTGGTGGAGAGTGTGAGCAACCCCTTCATAGATTGATTTTGAATGATTGCAAATATAATATAACATGTTTGAATAAGCCAAAATTATATTTCTCTCATAATGCATCTTTATGTGTCGACACATCAAGTTTTGTATCGATACATAGCTTTCTGAAGTCCCTGGACTTGTATCTCAAAACTATTATGTATTGATACAAAAGCTTATGAGTCGATACATATCTTTTTGATGACCCTGGAATGTAAATCTAAAAACTGCATGCATCGATACATACATTTCATGCATCGACACATAATATTTTGATGCCCCTGTAATACTCAGTATGTATCGACACATACGCATTATGTATCGACACAAAACATTCTGATGATTCTGGAAAACATTTTGAAACTTATAAGTATCGATACATAATATCATGTGTCGACTCATACTTTATTTTAAATTCAAAGTTTAAATTTACAATCAGTATGTATCGACACATGCGCATTATGTGTCGACGGGTATAAAAGTGTTGGTTCTGTAAAACGCTATAACAGGATTTTGTATCGACTCAAAAATATAATGTATCGACTCATCCTGTTACATGTAACTAACATGAGTTAACACATGACCAACATGCATCGACTCATGCACTCTCTTTTTTGACTAACCGTTTTATGTTATAAATATAAGCAAGCATTTGTTCAGATATAACTTTGCAGCATAGAAGATTGTGTGCAAAACAATTGTGAGCAACCAGAAGCTTTTGATTCCTTCATCTTCATCATCTTCTCAACCATCTTACATTCAAGAACAACAAAGAAAATCAAACATCCTTGTTGAATTGAATCAAGCGGTTTGAGATGACGTTCAGCTGAGTATTGAAGAAGTCTAGCTGAGTTAAAGGTTGAAGAGGAAGCTTCAAGAAATAAACCAGAGGGTTATTCCTTCAAGAACGGGTGTGTTCTTAAGGGTTTTGTCAGTCACGCTCACGCGAGTCAGATTCAGCCGTAGCGAGGGGTTTGGAAATCGGAAGGATTTTGAACAAACAGGTCGTGGAAGCGAAGGATCGTTCAGTGATTTTGTAGGGAATCTTGATACAACTCTTATGAAGTGGTGGTTCTTACAAGAAGAAGAAGAAGAAGATCGTATGGATTTCTGTCTTTCTGTGTAGTGTAACATTGCTATCAAACATTCAGCATATTGATATAAAAGTTCTCAGTTTCAATTGTGAAATTGAGAGGGAGACGTACCCACACGCGAGGACGACAGTGGGGAACTTCCTTACCAAACTGCATGTGTATCGTTCTCTCTTTTCTTTCTCTTTACAGTTTTACATATTCTATAATTTTGCAATTCAATTGGCGTGCTAAGTTTTACAGTCTAATGATAAACATAGTGGCTCAAAGATTTTCACCAAACCGCCACTATTAAATCATTATACAAGCTACGCCAAGTGTTTGACAAAATTCCTATCAAATTTCTAAATTCATTGGAAATTTTATTTTATGATAAGTGCATTGAAACGTCAAGATTTCTGAGTTGTACATTCATCCATTCCATTCAATAAAATTCAGCAAAGTTTTCACATGTCAATCTTTCTAGTAGTCGGTTCAAAGTAGACGAAATTGATTCAGGACATTGATTTTCACTGTTTTCAACTCTCTTTGATAAAACTATTTTAAATCCTTGAAAAAGAAGAAGTGATCTATTCACCCCCCCCCCCCCTCTCGATCACTTGCCACGCTGTCTAACAAGTGGTATCAGAGCAATGGTTAGCCGGTGCTTTGTATCTACTTGTAACGCTATGGCCTTTGAACCAAATGGGGCGTATAATAGAGCTCCTGTTTTCAATGGTGAAAACTATGGCTACTGGAAAGACTGCATGCGAGTACATATAAATTCCATTGACAGGAATGTATGGACTGCCATTCAAAATGGTCCTTTTCAAATCACCATGAGGAATGCTGCAGGTGCAATAGTACCTAAACCTGAGGATCAATGGATGAAATTGATGAAAAGAAATGGTCGTGCGATTGGAGATCCAGAAATATGATGATCTCAGCACTTGGTGTTGATGAGTATTATAGGGTGTCTCACTGCACGTCCGCTAAAGAAATGTGGGACGCTTTAGAAATTGCCCATAAAGGCACAACTGAAGTTAAACAATTCCGCATTAATACACTCAATGAAGAGTTCGAGCTCTTTCGCATGAAGCAAGGATAATCTATCTCTGACATGCAGAAGAGATTCGTACATCTTGTGAGTCGTTTAAATGCACTTGGAAAACCTGTTTCCAATGAAATTGCTACTAATAAAATTCTGAGATGTCTTAGCATGGAATGGCAACCTAAAGTAACAGCTATCAAGGAAGCAAATGACCTCACTACGCTTACCATTATAACTCTGTTTGGAAAGCTGGAAGAACATCAACAAGAATTGCAAAGTCTTGAAAAATACGAAAACAAGAGTAAGAAAGAAAGGAACAAAGACAGGGAGGGTGAGAAGAAGTCAATAGCTCTAATGACTTCTAGCTCTAAGTACTCAACCAAAGAGCAAGATGAAAATGGCTCAACTAGTGATGAAGATTTTGATGATGAAGAAATGGGATTTTTTGTTCGGAGATACAATAGATTTATTCGAAAGAATGGAATCAAGCACTCCGATAAGAATCTCATAAGCTTTCGAAAACAATCCAAAGAACCAAGGCAAGAAGAAAATAAAAAGCAAAGAGGTAAAGGACCTTGTTACAATTGTGGTAAAGTTGGACACTACAAACCAGATTGTCCAAATATGAAAAAGGATAAAGAAAAAGCTCCACCAAAGAAGTTCAACAAACAAAGAAGAGCTTATATTGCATGGGAAAGCGACACATAATTTATCAGACGATGACAGTTCAAGTTGTAGTGATGAAAGTGCAAATTTATGTCTGATGGCACATACAAAAAGTCAATTCTACAACAAGAAAGACAACCACAACAAACAAGTAAGACAAGCATATCCTAACAACTTTTCTTCTATGACCTTTTCTGAACTAAAGTTAGCTTTTGAAAAACTGCAATACAAAGCTGAAGATGCCTTTAAGAGATTATCCTCCGATAAACAAATTTTTTCATTTCTCGAGAGTGAAGTCTATAAAGCTGAAAAAGACTTAAAAAGTCTAAAAGCTAGTATTGCAGAAAGTTCAAAAGATAAGGATGTTACAGGATGTATTCCCAGAAGGGAATGTGAAGTTTGTCATATTTGGCAGCAAGAGGTTAGGACTCTTAATGCCAAATTAGAGAAAGCTTTACAGCCCAAAAGTTACTTTTGCAATTGATCCTAAAATTTTTAAGAAAACATTAAATCCACCGTATTTAAAATACTCTTTTGTTAAAAAATTACCAAAGGATACAATGAGAAGAAGTAAAACAATACATCACCATCATGGTTTATGCCATTATTGTTGTCACATTGGACATACCATTAAAAAATGCAAGTTTAGGAGGTTCCTTGTTCCTAAAGGCATTTACCAATGGAGGTCTAAAGGCAACCATGTTACCACTTACCCACATGGACCCAATAAAAATTGGGTACCTACCTCTCTCTTTTGATATTGCAGGAAAAATGCCTCACACCCATGGATAGAAGATGGTTTTTAGACAGCGGGTGTTCAAGGCATATGACTGGTGACATATCGCTTTTCATTGACTTCAAGGAAAAGAAGAGAGGATTTGTTACCTATGGAGACAATAACAAAGGAGCTATACTCGATAAAAGTAGTGTAGGTAATCCCTCTATCACTAATATTTCAAATGTCCATTTAGTAGAGGGGCTTAAACACAACTTGCTCAGTATTAGTCAATTATGTGACAAAGGTTATAAAGTTAGATTCACAAATACTTGCTGCATAATTGAAAATACTGAAAAAGATATTGTGTTTAAGGGCATTAGAGTAAACAATGTCTATATAGGGTATACAATAAACGTCTACTTACAGTTGAGAAGTCATTTCATGTCTCTTTTGATGAATCTTATCTGAAACATGTCGGAAAAGGTATTTC